GGCTTCCTGTAGTCAGCCCCTGGTCAGTTTCAGTGGCAGCAGCTGAATCTGAAGCCAGTTCCGACTTACATACAAATTCAACTTAAGAACAAACCTATAGTCCCTATCTTGTACGTAACCCGGGGACTGCCTGTATACTATGATGACAGTCCAGAGAGCAGTCCAGACTAGTGAGAGGTTGTACCACCTCTACACAGGCCAGAATTTGCTCCCAAAGTTTAAGGCTGTTTCTTTTGTTGTTTTTAAGTGAAAGAAAGTGAGAGAGAATTTTGTGTGTTTGTTCCTCACTTTACAGTCCAGTCCCCCCTTTTCTTGTGAGAATGGAGTCATGGAGTGTTGTGATGAAAAAGGTTATGTGCAGTTATCTGCTAAAATGTAAATGGATCTATTAATACCCTTTTTTGCCAGAGAACAGCCACTTTCCAGATGGTGGCCCATTAATTTTGATGACATTTGGCTGAAGGCTTCAGCTTGTTCTGTGTCTTTGAGAAACTGGTTTATCCAGACTTGTCTGGTAAACACACTTCAGACTAATTTCAGTTTGTTTATAACTTTACATATAATGCTACCACACATATTTCATTATTGACTAGTGAGTCATTAGTTTTCAAATTATATCTCACAAGGCATATTTTTGTACAAAGGTTATTACAATAGTGTGTACAGAGTGAATACAGGGGTATATTTGATCACATCTAAATTTTGTGTATCAATGCTGCATTCATATTGAGATGCCTTTATATATTCCGTCACTATATTATCCAGGATTACGTGAACTGCTTGTCAATAAACATGTAATTTTAGTTTCTCTTGTGCACATTACAGTTCAGCATCTTCTTTGACTATTTTATGCAGATAGTCCTTGTTATTTATGCATTTGAGTCTTTATTTATAGGCATCTACCAAAGATTTCTAATCAGTTTGACTGTCATCAACATTTCTATATTTTAGTAAGACAGCTATGTTGCATTCCCAGGATTTCCACATGTAATTGTTAGCTAGGTTGCTTAGAGGAACAACACTGATCTACATGACAATGACATTCCATGTTACTGTGATAGCATTGTTAGACCACTTAAATTTAACATTTTCATGGAATCCTAAGTATGCTGCAGAAATAGAAAAAGATGGGGGAGACGTTGCATCACAAAGACTATACTTCTCCTATAAATCCTATTTTAGTAAACCAAATTACCAGGCAGAGAGAGGAAGTAGGTGACTCAACCGTTCAGTATGCTATCCTGCCACCACTGGAGGTCTAGGTTCCAATCTTTATCAATTCAAAGTGAAGAAAGGGAGTCTCATTTTAGTACCATATTTGTTTTCATCCACAAAACTATAACTGATTTAAACAGGCAGTTTGTTCAAGAGCAGCCCATGGTAGAATAGCAGAGCCACTCAAGATTAGCATTCAGGTATAGCTGTGTGGTAAAGCCTGTAGTTCCTACACACATGCTGTCAGCCTATTCTTGGCCCTAACCTATTATATTAGCGCTCAGTAAAACTGATGCACTAACTTTACACTCAGCAATTAAAAGGACAGAGAAGAAAAACAAAAGCCTACCTTGTATTTCTGAACAAAATACCATTTGTGCAGTGGAATCATCAAATGAGTCTATTCGCGTTGTTTTTAAGTTCAGTGCATTTTAAAATATAAAATTTGTACTTTCTTTACATATTATTCTTATTTCATGTAACAAGTCCTTTTGACTTGTTTTCATTTTATAAAAGTCTAAATGGAATATGGAGGGATTAAGAACATAGAACATAAGAACAGCCGTACTGGGTCAGACCAAAGGTCCATCCAGCCCAGTATCCTGTCTGCCGACAGTGGCCAATGCCAGGTGTCCCAGAGGGAGTAATAATCAAGCCATCTCTCTCCTGCCATCCATCTCTACCCTCTGACAAACAGAGACTAGGGACGCCATTCCTTACCTATACTGACTAATAGCCAATGATGGACTTAACCTCCATGAATTTATCTAGTTCTCTTTTAAACCCTGTTACAGTCCTAGCCTTCACAGCCTCCTCTGGCAAGGAGTTCCACAGATTGACTATGCGCTGTGTGAAGAACTTCCTTGTATTTGTTTTAAACCTGCTGCCCATTAGTTTCATTTGGTGGCCCCTAGTTCTTATATTATGGGAACAAGTAAATAGCTTTTCCTCATTCACCTTCTCTACACCACTCATGATTTTATATACCTCTATCATATCCCCCCCATTAGTCTCCTCTTTTCCAAGCTGAAAAGTCCCAGTCTCTTTAATCTCTCCTAATATGGGACCCGTTCCAAACCCCTAATCATTTTAGTTGCCCTTCTCTGAACCTTTTCTAATGCCAGTATATCTTTTTTGAGATGAGGAGACCACATCTGTATGCAGTATTCAAGATGTGGGCGTACCATGGATTTATATAAGGGCAATAAGATATTCTCTCTTATTCTCTTTCCCTTTTTAATGATTCCTTACATCCTGTTTGCTTTTTTGACTGCCACTGCACACTGCATGGACGTCTTCAGAGAACTATCCACGATGACTCCAAGATCTTTTTCCTGATTAGTTGTAGCTAAATTAGCCCCCATTATATTATATGTATAATTGGGGTTATTTTTTCCAATGTGCATTACTTCACATTTATCCACATTAAATTTTGTTTACCATTTTGTTGCCCAGTCACTTAGATTGGTGAGATCTTTTTGAAGTTCTTCACAATCTGCTTTGGTCTTAACTACCTTGAGCAGTTTAGTATCCTCTGC